CTCAATCCAATGCTGGAATCATTCATGGGATTACAATCTGAGGTGAAGTTGGGTGAAAGCACGGCAAACTAACTGCTCGCTTGCCGCGTTGTAGGTCCCTGAACACACCTAACTCTTCATCATATCTTCAAAGCCGTTGAGCATATTTATTTACCCGAGCCCCGGAAGCCGAAGGAAGGTTTGTGGTACCCATTTACCCATTTTTGCATCCTGGGTAGGGTCACGCAGAAGAAAAAGCGTATCCCTACCCTAAACCCCAAACCTTAAACCCTAACCCTTAACCCTAGACCCTCAAGCTTACCCCAAACCCTAAACCTTAAACCCCAAACCCTAAACCCCAAACCTTAAACCCTAAACCTGAACCCTAAACCCAAGACCCCAAACCCTGCGGTTCCTGGGTTTCCAGCAGGAAGCCCTGCTTCATTTCATCATCCCTGTGTGCGTCGCTGTCGGTCTGGGGCTTGGAGCTTTGTTTTGCTGGGTGTTGCTCAGGGATTAAAGAGTTTAGGGCCTAGGATTCAGGGTTTAGGGTCTAGGATTTAGGGTTTATAGGGCCTAGGATTTCGGGTTCAGGGTCAAGGATTTAGAGATCACATGTCGAGGTTTAGGGTTTGTAAGTGGAAGCTGTCCAATTCATGATCCATTTTGGGGGGCTGCCTTTGACACCACACAGAAATGACGAGCACGCAACAACTGGCATTCCAGCCTTGCAAGACTGCACGAAGTAGCCATTGGAGCACGGAAGCCTTTTCTTACCAAGAGCACAATCTCTAAACTCTAAACCTCAAACCCTAAAGCCCTTATCATACCCCTGATTAACCCAGTCCAGCATCCCTATTAGCAGGCTCCTTTGGTTCCGATCAGGCACAGCGGCGGGCCCTTAAGCCCTTGTAGGCTAGTATAATTCCTAATTGGCCCTAAGAAGGAAATAATGTCAGTTTAGTCCATGTAAGAAATATACACGGCAGTTCATATAGCATAGATCACCTATATAGGAAGGCCCACGTAGACTCAAAGCCTTGATCTCCTACGCCTTTGAGAGACTTCTTCAAGTCTTGGGGGATTTCCGGGGATCTCAATGTGGCTGTTGCAAGTATAGGATTGCAGAAGGAAAGCCATTCTTGGCATTTGTCTTTTGTCGGAGTAACCTGTTGGCATTGTTGTTGGCGCTTCGGTAAGGAGCCCTGCCATAACCCATGTTCAAGCACTGGGCGCTGAGGAAACGGTCACGAAGCCTGTTTGAGTGTATGTCGAAAGAAACAAGCCCTAAAATCAGAGATATCGATATATGTTTGTATATTTGTATGCGCATAGGATTTATATGTGTATATGAACGAGTATACGTATATATGTATATATGCCCATGTATGTGTGTGTATCCGAAGGAAGCCTGTAGGGTGCCGTTCTTTTCTGACAAAGACCCCTCGTGATCCTGTCACTTCTTTCCTGGAAAAGGGTCCAGGCAGTCAGACGGCTGCCCTGAAGATCCAGGTATCCAATTTCTTATTGATTCTTAGTAGGGAATAAGGGAATATGTCATATAGGGATTATACAGGGACTATACATATGCCTTGCTGAGAAGCGGTATTTTTTCCACGTACTTCCAACTTTGCCCATTTGCAAGCACTACCATAGGCATTTCAAATGAATAAATCGTTGGGCGCATTGACCTTGGGGGGTTGGCCGAAGCCTCTCATGATGTCTGGAGAGGCTTCGTGTCTTCAAAGCAGCCTTGGGTACATTTCGCAACTACATGTGCCTTGCCTTCTATGATGAATGCTTCGGTGGGGGGCGGGGGCGCTTTCGCTGACATATTTCCGAGCTCTGATACAGCCATGCAAGCGTTTTGAAAGAGGAGTTTGGCAACCTAGTGATAGTGAACGTTGTTGCTGTCTGTCTGGTCCGCAGCATGGCAGTACTGGCCTCACTCTTACCCTTATTGTTTGGATTTGTGTTGACCATGTGATTATCCGGGCTTTCCTTGCACAATTGGATTGGGTGATACATGCTTCTAGGCATGCTTGATGTCAAGGCATCCGCCGTAATTCATAGCGTTGTGCCTACATAGAACTGTGATGGGATGACATCCATCGTCAAAGATTTTCTACAGGTCTTGGAATGCCACCAAACAATCCTCCACAGGTGGTCCCAGAAGCATCCTGTAGACTTCAAAGTGTAACATACAGAGGTGGAGAAGAAGCGGTTATCCTCTAAGAGCTTGGTCAAAAGGAATAGAGATGATCCCGTGCTCCCCCCATTCTCTTCAGGGCCCCCGAACTAGCCCCTCTGCGCCAGGCGCTGGCATCCCAGTATGCCCTGAACCCTGGCCCCGTCCCCTGCTTCCCCCTTGCAAAGCAGATCAACGTGGTAGGTTTCTGTACACAAGGAGTATCCAATGTAGACCCCAATATATTTCAATCCTTATTATGGGGCCCTCGAAACATGCTACCCCTAATTATGGGAACCCTAAACCCTAGACCCTATATAACCCCTATATAACCCTCATGTAGCCCCTATATATTGTGGAAACTTCCCCCCACATGGCAAGAGGCAGCGCGCGGCAGCAGATGCGGGACCCCGTAAGCTGGAGATGCTTTGGGACCGCTGCTCTGCTGGGTCATCTCTTGCCCTGGGGCTCATGCGGTTTAGGGTTTAGGGATTAGGGTGTAGGGTTTAGGGATTAGGGTGTAGGGTTTAGGAATTAGGGTGTAGGGTTTAGGGATTAAGGTTTAGGGTGTAGGGTTTAGGGATTAGGGTTTAGGGTTTAGGGTTGAGAGACTTTGGGTCCTAAAGACAGAGATGCTTTACTATAGATAGTATTTACGGCCGGCTGTTTGGAGCCCAAGGGTTGTCATAAGCTCTGAGCGGCTTTCATACACACATTTTTTGCGCTGTTGTGGGGCTTGCACGTGAAAACCAACAATGATTGCAGGGTGTGTAGGTTTTCAAAACTGCACGGGCGCATTCAATTGTATTTATTGCAGGGACGTGCTGGGATCGATCATTTCCAAACGAAGACACTGCAGAAGTTAGCATATGCAAGAAGGTTGGCTAGCTTAAGGGGAGCAGAGACTAAGTATGTAGAGGATCGTGCCCAAGAAGCCCTAAAATGTCAAACTCACATCCTTATGATCCTCATACATGTTTAGCGAAGACCTTGTCCGGACTATTACTTGAATTTTCAAGCTAGGTGAACATCTTGGCCAAAGCGCATACAACGAGAGAAGCAACTTTAAAAACGAACGCGGATCTGCATCTGTTAGTCCAAGTAGGCAAGTACATCACATTAACCAGGTCAGTCTACCGCTACCATTTGGGCAGCGACAAGATAGCGGCATTACCACAAAGAAGTAGAACGAGTAATATTTCTGCCGCCGCCACTACCACCGCCGCCACCACTGAGAATCATCATCTTTCTTGGCTCTATGTTCCAATATTCTTCCGACAGTCTGATTGCTCACAATGCCTCATGATGTAAGCAAGATCGATCTCTGCGGGATGCCATGTTGATCTGTCAACGTAGGTGATTTGATTACTCGGTTGGTTCTTGTTTTTGGTATCCTGCATAGCGCATCTAAGGCGTCTGCATCCGAAAGCGAGGTGCCTTTGGCTTTTTTGCTGAGATCTTGTGCTGTAAGGACCTCATTTAGAATTAACATCCTACTGACCATCTGACAAATTCATAGTGAAACAGGGATGGATGCTGGAGGGTGAGGGCATCTTGAAGCAGGAGCTTAGTGCCAGGGGCTTAGACACCTGCTTCGCACTGTAGACCGAGTACATGCCTATGCCTCTTGCAAAGCACTTAGCCCTTGACCGTAAACCCAATCCAAGCTGAGCTATGTTCCCTATAGGGCTCCAAATATCCCAATGCAGGTATGATACATAGACTTCAGGGCCCAATGTAAGTATTATCTGTAGACTGAGAGCCCTATATGGGTTGCAAGCATGTAACAAGTCGGGGCAGGTGACAAGATCACCGCGGAAACTGCCCATAGTTGCTTGGCACATCAGAGTTTACCATGGTTGCCAAAACCCCAAGAGCATGTAGAATAACACATACTGTATTGTTTAGGGTGTAGGGTTTAGGGTTACTTTAGCTCGTGTTTTATCGGTTTAGGGCCATCATTTTGCCCACTTTTCAGATCCAGGCAGGACCAGTTATACCCCGGACTAAGCTCCAAACGGGATCCCTGATTTTGAGAAACACTCCTGACGACGTTCAGAACCGCGATTCTAGACCCTAGAATAGGTGTCAAGTCAGGGGGGAGGTTGTCCGAGAAATGATGTAGTCGAGTGGTAGCAATAGGCTCCACGTCAGACCGTCAAGCTGTGAAATAACACCCCTGCCTGCAATGCATTAAAGATTTCCGCTGTGCTCACCGCTCCTTTGCGGAACCTCACCCTGCGCTTGCTTGAAACTACAGTCGCCCTCAAGTAGATAGAATATGGCCTTGGGCATATTACAAAAAAATACATGCACATATACACCATATTCTATCTACTTAAGGGGGACTCTACGCGCTCCCGTCTTGTAACATGTCACCGAGGAGACATCGCAAAGTACAAGCTGGACTCCCGTCTCTAAGAAAGTTGCTAGCCTTGCCGTTGATTTTAGATTGATTTTTCCTGTTTTTACTACTATGACTACCAGTATTGCTACTATTACTATTACTATTACTACTTTTACTATTTTACTATTGTTCTCATTATCATTACTGAGGCTTGTGGAAGTCACAACATGATCTTTTGGTGGTTTTGGGTTGCGCAGAGTCGAGTTCATCCTGCGACGGCCTGTTCTTGATCCATAGAATCCTTTGCGATGCAAGTGCCAGAAATTGAAAGTACTCAGTTGCCTCTGATGACATTTTGTGAAGTTGTCATACATACTATGGGATATTATAGTATATTATGGGATATCATAGTCTATTTGTGGGATAGTATTTAGAGTCTTTGTGAGTTGGCTGTTTGCCCTTTTGTATATCTTGCCTGCCGGTGAGGATTCGGACGAGATCTTTGGCGGCTGGCTGAACTTGGACCGTGACGATTGACAAGGGTCATCTGGTATGGGGATGATTTACTGTACGTGTTACACAATAGTAGTAAGCATACTGTTATGGCAGTAAAAGCATACTGCTAATACTAAGACTAGCTTTCGGATGACAGCAATTCTCTGTGCAGAGATGACTGATGGACATATGCGCTTCACTCATGGGTTGTTAGCAAGTTCCGGGGGGAACTGCAACATCCAAGATGTCAAGTGGTGACAGGGGTGGTGCCTTCCATTTCTGTCTGCAATGATGGTGCTGATAGGCACTTTGAGCTGGCGTGGATGCCGATAGAGGCTGCTTTTGGGATTCTCCTGCAAAGAAGACGTAACCTGAGGTAGGAAAGTAACTACTGCTGTCTTTGGTCTGTTGTTCTAAATTGCTTTAATTTGGATTTCCTCATGTCTGGTGTACGTTCAGGTCTCTCACTTCTTCTGGAGGCTACATAGTCAGCGGGTCGGTGCAGCTTTTTTAGGGGTTGAGTTCGAGTCGGGATCCTGACGCCTTTCATTCCTAGGCCTTTTACCATACCCAGCTGTCGGCATGAACGACTCAGATGCGGCACAGAGTTTCGTTGTATGCCTGTAAGTTGTTGAAAAGTTCCGAAGAGTTTAAAACCAGCGTACGGGGCGTTTTATCTTCACAGAACAGAATCATCCCCGCACCAAAGTGGCCCTAGCGTTTCGAGCGTGATGCCCTCAAAAGTGATTCCATCTGGTTGAACTACTTGAAACGTTTCCATGCTCCATGTACACACGATGCGGAAGCAGGCCGAAAAGAGAGGGCCGGCGCATCATTATACGACACCTGAAGCTTTTGCACCGGTGGTGGCTACTCTAGCCTCACCACAGCTCTTGGGCCTTCTAGCCACAGTGCTATACTTATTGTAGCCTGCCTGCAACCTGCTTTGCATGTAGAAAGCACTAGCTTGTGGATTTAAAGCCTCCCCCACCACCTAAACAAAAGCCCTGGACCCCAAATCCTCCACACCGCACATCCTGACCGTCTGCAGCTGTAAACTACCCTCCCAAACCTTCTGCTTACTGGCGTTTCGTGAGGAATGAGGGAATACATCATCATAGGGAATATATAGGGGTACCGGTATTCTCTACTATCCACCAGTAAGTCTTTCATCATTGGAAATCTTATGACTAGCATCCCAAAAGCCTTTAGGGGTTTAGGGTTTAGCTGAACCCCGAAAGGAGGTAAAATAATGGCCCAAAACATCTAAATATAGCCCGAATGCCATTATTCTACATACTTTTGGGGTTCAGGTAGGGTCCAGGACAGCCGACCACAATTTTTCCACTGCATTCCCGGGAGCCATCGCCAGAGACCTGCTCACAACCGGCGCGGCTCGCTGTCTGCGAGTTGGGTGGGGGGGGCAGTTTGGGATTCAATTTAAGAATGTAAGGTGTTGGGGGAGTGGAGGACTTGGAGTCTACTGGCCTTTGGTTAGCTTGGAATGAAGGAACGGAAAAGAAAATGGAAACTGTTAACTTTACTTGGTTATATAGGAATTCCTATAAGGATCCATTCCTTCATTCCTAGCCCACCAAAGGTCAGTGTAAAGTGTACGAAGTTTCGGATGTTGAAAACGTAAACCCTAAACCCTAAACTCTTTCGAGTTTAGGATTTGAGGGCTTAAGGCTTCGGCTCGAGAAACTGGAGGGAGTTGTTTAAGGTTTCAAGGAGTCAGGGAGAGTTCGATTCAGGGCTTTGGGTTTAGGGAGAATTCAGGGTTTGGGGATTTTGGACTCAGGGAGAGTTTCCGACTGTTTTTTTCCGAATTTTAGGGTTTAGGCAGGAAGTAAGCTTTCAGGATGTAGGGTAATGTTGAGTTGTGAAGCCAGTACAGGAATGCAGGAAAGGGTACTACCAAGTCCTCATCTACCTTTTTTATTGCTGGCCGTTGGGGATGAGAAGTCATATTTTCTCCTAGTGAAGTCTAAGGGAACCTACTCATCAATGATTTTGGGCGCCTTTGAGCACTATTACCGAGCTCGCTTAGGTGCAGCTGCCCCACTAAGTAATTGGGGAATGCTATGCCACTTCCAATCCTTACACCACTTGTCCTGCAGCCCAATCATACTACGCACAGATTTCAACATCCTGTGAAGCGCTGAGATCCTAAAACCCCAAACCCCGGCCCAACCTGGTTCTTTCATGGCCGTGTCGAGGCTTCTGCCGGCAAAAGTGCACCCTGGAAGAGATGTGCCGTGTTGACCCTTGTCCACGGACCGATTTTCAGGGTTTCAGGTTTTCGGGGTTTATGCCTTAGAAGCTTTATGAAGGAGTCGTCCAGGAAGCCCACGACTTGTTGCATCTATGTGGGAGAACCGGGCGTAGGCTAGAGTAGGCATGTGTAGGTCGACTTATCCGCGTAGTCTGTTTAGTTTGACTTTTCTAGCAGGCAACGCGGAGACAAAAGGTGATGCACAGAATGTTGCGCTGGCCAAATCCGGTGGTTGTCCAAGTAGTTAGTTGAACAGTCTGAGTGAGCCAGTGTAGTCAATGTAGCCTGCTACCGTAGAGGAAGCCGTGATTCCACGTAGTCTGCGCGGCCTTCCTTGTTGGAAGAAAATCTTAATGCAGAAAGCAACAAAGCTTAACTGCAATCCAGGAAGTCAGTCCTGGTCATGTGGTGATATTCTACCAGGACATTCTCCATAAGGCAGGAAGCCGAAATCCGAGTTCTGTCACGCCGTTAACCCTGCTCTGTGCAGAGAACCTTTTCGCTTTTCTTGGGGAGGGATCAATCTCTCGAGTCTGGATTTTGAAGCCAACATCCCCGAATCTTGAAGATAATCTCAAAACCCACCGGGGAGCGGCCATGCTACCATCTCAGCTGTTTCAAGAACTCTAAACTCTAAACCGTGATAGCCACAGTGCGAGTGTATTTCTGTAGCATGCCTTGGACAAGCCGTGCATTGAGAGCCCTTCACTCTTAATTTCCTTTAGCATTATTCTTAAAGTAGATCACTTTAGTTTTTAACCCACATGATTTCTTTTAGCATAATAGCTCTGCTATCGGTCGTGAGGGACTAGAAGTTGCTGGGGTCCAGGAATGTGTCGAGGCCTTGCCGCGGCCTATTCAGGGCTTATCAGCCAGGGAAGCAATTGGGTACTGCCCCCCATCAGTAACAGTTGGATAATATATATAAGATGATTATATATACAGCCCTTAATAGGACCCCTAATATAGACTGTTACTGGGTGGGGGCAGTACCCAAAGTATAGGGATGCGTCCTGAAACAGGGACTTCCAGCGCTGTCAGCCCTGTGGGGCCGGCAGTGGTCCTGAACCTCGAGTCCTTGACCTTGAAGTCCGAAGATCTCAATCATTGAGCTGTAGACCCTTAGGGCTCCAAATCGCCTAACATAGGTAATAGCCATAGACTTTGGGTTTTGGGACCCAAGGTTGATATTATTTATAGACATGGAGCCCTAGGGGACTCTAGAACCTTGGATACGTGTGTGCGGAGGTGTGCCGCGAGACGATCGTGGAGGACTCTCTGCGCCTCTTCATAGGCCGCTGGCTCATGGAATTCCATAGAAGATTCGTAGGTGTTGCAGGGGCTACTAAGTTAGGGTGCAACGTGCCAGCGATTGTGCCAGATAATTATTAGATTGGCAGACATGTGGTTCGAGTTTAGATAAACTCACAGCTATAGGGATTGGTTCTGCCCCCCATATGCCATGATCCTAAACTAAAAAAACTAAAGAGTCCCAACGCGCGGTTTGCTTCGACAAGTCCAGACTTCGGCTTTGTGCTAAGGTTTCAGGATTATTTCTCAAGGTTTATTGCTGTCTAGGCTTCAGGGCTCATGGTTTTTTGGTAAGGTTCCGTATAGATAAAGGGATTTTACTGGGAACCCGAAACAGGGAGCCCCAAGAATATAGTAGGAATATGATAGAATATAAGGACCCTGGTAGGTATATTCCTAGTATATATCCTACTACATTCCTGCTATATTCGTGGCGTTCCCATTAAAGTGCCTTTAATGGAGCCTCCCAATCTGCAAGCTCTCCTGTCCGGCCCCTGAAAGGGTACTTGGTACCGGAGGCACGAGAGGAGGCAGGCGAATTATGTTTGGGAGTAACCCTTTCATCCGTGGAACCTACGGATGAATATACAAATTGTGGGGCTCGGGTCATGAACTATAAGCCCCAGGTGAAACACAAAGAGGGGCCCCTCCAAAACATGAGACTTCAACATGGGCGGCTTATAAGGGTTTCATGCAAAGCAAATACACGCGGCGACGCAACAGGTATGCTGCTTTCAAGTAATTTACGCAGCTTCTCATACGAGCACAAAGGAAGCAACCCAACCACCCTGACCCCAAACCCTAAACCCCAAACCGTCAACCATGCTGATTTGACAGCCCAGGGAGCCCCACACCACTTTGATTAAGGAGTATAGCGGAATTAAGTCAGATTAAGGATCATAATCCCCAATCCTCTCCCCCTAATATTACCCCCCCTAAAATTCAGTATTCCTGGGTGGGTTAGATAATAGGGGGAGGGGATTATGAGTATAATTCTGGATGTTGAAGGGATGGTGGGCTCTCTGGTCCGTACATAGCTGCGAAGGCTGGCGGCTGACGCAATCGGATTTGAGCCTGCAGGACCTACCTCATATGAACCATGATCTTAACCCCTGAAAGGGTGCTATATCAGGGTATTATAGGGGTTTTACGGGGGATGCTAGGACTTTAGACTATGCTTCAAGGGGCTATATTCGGGTATTAACGGGGCTTTTAAGGGGGATACTTGGAGTTTAGACGATGACTCATATAGCTTATTCCTATAAGAGGCAAGGTTCGGGGGTGGGGCTTTGGGTTTAGGATTTATAGTCCCCCTTAAGAAGATCGAATAATGGCCTTAAGTATAATACGATAAGATCCCCATATACCCCATATTCTATCTACTTAAGGGGGACTAACCCTAAACCGTAAACCCTAAACCCCATATTCTATCTACTATAGGGGGACTGTAGGGTTTCGTGTTTAGGGTCGTCATCCCCCCGGAGTAGCTCATGGCAAGAATTGGTTCAACCGGTTGGGTTTGGGGTCCAGTGCCCGTAAGGAAAGGCCAAATGAATGACTGCGGAAAGAGCGCTGAGAGGTGGTGGTGTGGAAGATATTGAGCCTGGTATCTTGCAATTTAGTTTTCTATTTTTTCTGCGCAGGTTACACACTAATTTTGTGGTGCCTTGCAGGGGTCCAGCTTCTGTACCTTGAAATCTTGAAACTCCCTGAGCAAACAGAATTCCCAACGGGTGTCTCTCCTTTGGGATCCTTGCATACACTGACCGTCACAACCCTATACCCTAAACTCTACTAACCCTCCTCGGGAAACTCAGAGGTGCAACCGTGGCTCCTTCGACCCAGACCCAATACACCCTCAAGCCTCGAACCCCACATCTGCTTGAACCTGAAGTTACCTTGACCCCTAAAGTAGGGGAAAACCGTAGACAACAAGCCAAATAGGGAAGTGATCCACATGCTTTCAGGTGGTACACAAACAGCAAACGCTTACCCTAGGGATCCCAATAGTCCAATGTAGGTAAGATTTAGAGACTCTAGGGCCCAATGTAGGTATTTGTATACTTGGATCCCCAGGACCCTAAACCCCTTAAACCCTAAACCCCTTAAACCCTTAAACCCTAAACCCCTTAAACCTTAAACCCTAAACCCTAAGCCCCCCAAATCGTGCCCGTTTTCTGATTGCGAAGTCCTGTGCAGGACCTTGCTTCCAAAGCGAAGCCAGGCATCTTGATTCAAGCCTCATGAAAGCTAAAGCCTAAACCCTAACCCTTGGTGTAGGCCTGATTCGGATTTTGTAGGGTTTGTCGTTGGTTGTGTCGGGCTTGTTATGGTTGAGGGTCATTCACTTGTCTAGGGTTGAGGGTCATGGTCTAGGGCTTCTAGTGTTCTGCTCTTGGTTGTCGCTCATAGTACATGGCGGGCTTCTGCTAACACATGGGATGAGGGGTAGCCTATGCGGGTCATCATGGAGGGCTGCCTGCCCAAAACTCACATGAGCTATAGTCTAAACCCCTCAAAGCGGCTTATATAGGGGATTATATAGCGGAGTATGATAGGGATTATTAAGGGAGATGCTCGGAGTTTAGACTATGGCTCACGTATGATTTGGAGTTCTGGGTGGGTAGGTGATGGCCTTTCCGCAGTAGACAGAAGACGAATCCTGATCATGGGAGCCCATGGATCGTTGCCTGTGCATTGACATGTTTCCTACAAACTCCACTCAACACAGGCGCAGTCTGGAGGTTACGGGATGCCGGAGTACTTTTTGCACCTGGGGTGTCATTGCCCTGGGAATACTGAATATTCTGTTTTTTGGGGGAGTGTAGGCTGCATAAGCATCTCAAGAGGCAGTGAAATTTCGCTTGAGATCAAACTGTCAAGTCTAACCGGCATCCCTAGCGTGTGGGTCAACAGGTTGTGTTTTCGTCTGAGGCTTCCAAGTGCCCACCCAAATTGTTAGGTACTTGGACACTGTGATCTTGGACTACCTGAACCCCCAGAGTATGTAGAATAAGAACCATGTTGACTCTCTTTATGGTTTTGGGGTGATGATTTGCCTCACTGTATTTTTGAGGTAATTGTGGACCTTGAATTGGGGGAATTGTTTTGGCAGAAGATATGTCGGAGTTTCCATAAATTGGTGGGGACTAAATATCTGATCCTTGGACACTTCCATAGAGGGCCTAGTTTCGCGATGCATTCTGGAAGTTCCCTCACCCCCTACTACTAACCAAGTCATGGCACTTGCAGCTGGAGCGTACGTCTGCTCAGCACGCCACCGCCATGATCTAGTTGCACGTGCAGCACCGAAATTTGGTTCAAGGCATTGGTTTAAGTACTCTGGAGGTCTAGATACCTGAACCCCGAAAGTAGGTAAAACAATGGCTCAAAACACCTACATACTTTTGGGGTTCAGGTAGTAACGCCTAGATCCTTACACAAGTTCTGAAGCGAGATCCTGGAGGTTGAGGGCTTCGGGGCTTTTTCATGTACATGGATTCTGCGCGCAAGACCATGAGGTGTGCACCATCATCTAGTATCCTTCTTGCGCAAGATGTTTGAGAAGTGCAAAGGCTTCAGCATCCTGGTGCTATTGAATGATATAAGGAAAAACCTGGAGCTCTATGTTGGGCAACTGGGCTCGCGAGTGTTAATGTGCAGAGTTTTGACTAGAGCTCATGCCGTTGGGAAAGGTGTACCAGACACCGACTCAATCTTTGACACGCAGGCGATTGGGATGTAGCAGCGATGCTGGCTATTGGGAGGGGTCATGTTTTTTGATGGAAGGAGCTTAGACTTGGTATCAGCAGGCTTCTACTTGCAAATCCCTCATGCTGTTGTCATGAGGGCATAAGCGTCTTCACTTGTGTATAGCTGGGGAAGGAGCAAGGATGTGCAAAGCCATTTTCTGTCTGCCATGTAGACTTAACCTTTGTTGCCCAGTTGTCGTGGGGTAACTTGTGTCATTTCGATTGATTGGTTTGCCAGATGCACACTGAAGCGAAGGTTTCCCGTAGAGGGCCCTTGTGGGTTCCCACCTATCTTGCAAACATTATGGCTCCCTGGATGGAACCCCCACTTGTGAACACCAGATGAGTTTAGGTGGGCTTCTGTTCAATGCCCGACGCCGTCCGGCAGAAACAATGACCGTTCAGAACAATGGATATGGCCTGAAACAGAAACCTGAATCCTGAAGCCTGACGCCCTCAATAGTTTGCTTACTGCTCGGCACCTTCACCACACAAACCTGAACCTCATTGAGTCGCTTGTTTGGTCCCCAGCCGCATGGCCCCCAATCAACCCTAAACCCTGAACCGTCTGGGCCCTAAACCGCCCTGTTGCCCTGTTTGTACCATGCTTGAACGCATTGCGCCCGAAGGCTGTGCCGCTGCTGCCAAGTGGCCAGCACCCGCCAATGTATGCAAAGAACCATCTCCTATTCTGGCGCGAAGGCGGGACTACAGGGTGTAGGGTATATAGGCCCCCTTGAGTAGATAGAATATGGTGTATATCGGGATCTCATATTAATATGCTCAAGGCCATATTCTATCTACTTAAGGGGCACTAGATTTCAGGGAATTTGGGTGGCTTGACAGTTTTGGGGTTCGTGCCCGCCCCGGAGCCTACAGCAACCCGTGACGGTCTGAGGCTCCGAACTAGTAGAATGATGGCCTATTGAGGATCAATCCCCCACTCAGGAATGGGGCCACAAAGGATTAACACAGTATTTTGTAAGGCCCTATTAACTTCATATCTAGGAGCTAGTACTGTAATGTAAGGGTGATTGGCCTAAGGTCTATTTGGGATCTTTTCCATGGGTTTTGGAGGCGGTCCAAGGTAAGGCTTTGAGTCCGCAGGCGCAGGGCACACAAGTTGTGAAGCAAAAAAGCTCAAGCCCTCATACATTATAGTATGTTCTGGTATAATACAGTATGTTATAGCATGTAATGTTATATTATAGTATGTTATAGTAGATTATACTCATCCCCAATTCGCGAGCCCCGACACCCCAATTCCTGACTTGAACCTTGCCAGATCCCATAAACAACTGTGCTGTCATAAGTGCTATAGTCTAATGCGTTTTTCTGTTCCGGTTATCATTGAAAGTAACACTCTCTTCACATGTACCATTTCCCCCAAATTTCTAAATCCTAAACCCTAGATCCTAAGCCCCAAATCCCAGCGCCTGGCCTTAGAACTGATGGCTTGGTCGAGACAGAGCGTGCGCGATGGTTGCAAAGAGTTGCTTGCCGCAAGTATTACGAGGTTTAGGGTTTAGGGTTTTGGGTTTAAAGTATGAGGGACTGAATGGTTATAAAGGGTTTGGTAGAGGGAGAATAAGGGGCCCGAATCATTGGAGTAGGGTTTTGGGAGGTGTGCCATTTTTGAGCGGCCATATACTATAAGGATCATAAACCGGAGAACATTGGTTATTTTTTTGGCTTTGACAGTAAGCTTCACGGTTTCGGTTTTGGACTTAGAGCCTTGGGTGTAGGGCTTGGGCCTTGGGGGCAGGTCTTGGAGGTATTTGTGTCTCAAAGTCTGGGCCTCAGCACATAGTCGCTGGTGTTTGAAGATACAGGGGGTGCAGGGGTACTATAGGGTTCTATCGTGATAATGAAAGGAAATTGGGAACTGCTATGTAGGGATCAAGGTTTAGGGTCCAGGGCTTGGGGAGTTTGTTTGGCTTGTGGGGGCTGGGAGCAACTGCGTATTTGGATTTCCATGCTTTCTTTATATCGTGCGCAATCCGAACCCCCAGGACTCATGCCCTCATTCCGTGCTGCCCCACGCCTAGTTGGACATCGTCAGCTACCCTTTGTACCCTAGGCCATAGCTTCATTTTGAAGTTCAGCACGAACCTGGCGACATCTGCCTCATCTTCCACCTAGACACTTTGCTCTGACAGGCGCAACATGGTACGGGTCCTTCATCACATGAATGTAGCTTGCCCTCTCACATCTGGATTATCCAGGCAGGGTGTTGTGGTCTGTGTGGCAATGAGTTACCAGTTCTCAGAGGGGAACGCAGGCACAGGCTCATGTAGCAGCCCCTATACAATCGCCAACATTCCATTCGAACTGAAACCCTTAAACCCTAAAAGGTTCCAAGACCCTCCACCTACTCCCTATTAGGCCCTAAGTACCCACTATCAGGGGCATATATCCCAAATTATGGGTACTAAGAGATTCCTGGTAGTTGCCATGTTCTTCTCATTTCTTTCATCCCCCACTGACGACCAACAACATGAAGCGGGCAAAGCGTTTCAATGGCCCTCCGTCGATAAGGGTCTCTTTCCCCCTACCTACCCATGCATCTTCAGTCTAACCCGGGTTTGTCTGTTTCCAAGATGAGGACTGCCTGAACCACCCTTTTTTATGACGCTAATGATAGGACCCACCCTGAAACCTCTACAAAGTATTGGTCCCCACCCTGTTTATTGAACTATGGAAGCTGCCATATCTATGTGAACAAGAGGTTGACCAAGTGTGGCAACTGCATGGTTCTCCTGGCCCCGAGACGGTTCAGTAGTCTGAAGTGCATGGGGCTTCCAATGCCTCTTGGCTATGAGGGATGGAAAGATTTTATGGAAGGTTTGGAGCTTGACGGCGTGTGATTCAGGTTTAACGAGCTTGGAAACCTGTAGATGTAGCACTCGGGGCTTTCTACTGTGCTGAAGAACTACGTTTGCGAAGCAACATGTAGCTGCGGAACAGTGCGAAAAGCATCTGTTTCTTTACTTTTCTCAGACAAGCACGTATTATTGCGCACCTGTGTGTGTGAGGGCCTAGGCCAGACTATGCCGATGCAGGTTGCATGATGGTTTGCTGAACTCGAGGGATGCACGGGTCTTGGGTTTTGGGCTTAAGGCTTAGGGTTTAGGATTGCAGGGTTTACGGCTTGGTGTTTGGGAGCAGTTTAGCTTAAGTGATGATGCTTCTCCTAGATACTTTCCCCAGAGAGACCTGACTAAGTCAATGGACCTATCCCTTGATAAAGAGACAGCATTGTGATTGTGCTTCCTTAGAGACTCTAGCAGGGAGGAAAGGCATGAATTCCTGCCAGCCGTGCTGAATAATTACTTTCTACCCTGCTGCAAATGGAATTCTATCCAAACCCGCCTTCAGGAATGAAGCTTGAAGGATTCCTACCTTCCTTAAACCCATGTCTAATCCAGACTTGAAAGATCTTTGCCAACAAGAAGAAACAATTCCGAATAGTTCCTGGACCCTAAACCCCTACTGTGGTAGAAAGATTTTGTAAAAGAGACTTGGGGCAGGTTGTGGGGCTCAAGTCCTCACTGGTTTAGGGATTAGGGATTAGGGCCCTAAACCCTAAACCGTTCGGAAGTTTCTTTGGGGCCTCCTAGGCTCGCCAGGGCCTTCTCATGTATTTTAGGTAGTTTGTAGTTTTCTGGTTTCCATCCAACACCTGCTTATTGCATAATAAGGGTTTAGGGTTTAGGGTAACACTCTCCCAAAGCCTGCCCACCCAAAAACGGCCTGAAACTTGCTTGGAACCCGCCGTGCACCTCCGAACAATTTGAAGCGTTTGTTTCAGGGTTTACCCTAAACCCTAAACCCCTAAACCCTTAACCCAAGTCTTTTGAGTGTGTTGAGTAGTATGGGGCAGCTTTTCTGCAGGGTTTTCTCAATTTTCTGTTTGAGGCAGGTTTTCTTGAGATTTGTCAGCTTTGCAGCAAGATGAACAAGGCCAGTTGGATCAGTTTTTCAGGAAGGATTTCAAAGAATCCTAGAGTCTCCAAGCCATCCGCGATCGCTAAGATCGCTGGTGGATCATACCACAACTGTGCTGCGCACGCGATGCAATCTATTGTTGGGGTGCGTTGTTTCCTCGTGTTCTCAGGTACGAAGAGTATAGCGAGGAGGAGAAGAGTATAATGCGCCTCGTTGCCACAGATTTAGGAATTGTCTCGACTGTAGGCAACAGCAGCCATCTTGACAGTGGCTCTGGGTTTATAGGGGGATACATTGGGCTTATACAGGGTTATACAGGGGTTATATAGGGATATATAGGGATTCTACAGGGGCATATAGGGTTTGGGCCGAGAGGGCGGTCTCAGAAATCGAGCTTGGTAGAGTTTCGTATGGCGGGATCCAAGGACGTTAGTCCCATACTTTGACCTTATGAGGGTTGCCCTCCAGCAGGAGATAGAAGCACTGCAGAAGTCCAGGTAATTGCCAAGATGGTTCCTTCCTTTCTATATTCCTGACACAGTTACGGTATAATTTACCCCCAAACCCTGTTGACTATGTGAAAGTAAGTCTTTGGGTCCCCACACTAGGTTGCTCTCATCGTCCTTGTGGCTTCGGCTCAGGTAAGGGCACATCATATGAGCTAAAGTCTAAACTCCTTAAAGGGGATTATATAGGGGACTACTCTAGGGCTTATTAAAAGGGAGACTAGGAGTTAGAACGCTCAGCTCCAGCAGCTATCATCCTTATCCTCTAAAGTATCAAGCTCTGTACAAGAACTGACAGGGAACAAGGATTGACACTGGAGTTGGTTCATGGCGTGTTTCAGGCTTCATTTTTGAAATTATACTTGCACCTCAGGGGCGATCCGCACCTCCTGGAAACTTGCAGACATGTATCTCTACCTGAAGGAGCACGTTCCTGCCCGTGTCAGACAAGACCTCCCAAGTATCCATACTGTTAGCAGCCTACCCCCCTCACAAAAGAGTATATTGGCTATGAAGATGGGTGGTTGGAGGTGGAAGCACTAGCATTTTTCTTCGTCGCAGTCGTGTTGATTAAACATTGCCCCACCCTTCTAATCATCGTAGTCATATTTTCGTCTGACAAATGCCTATTCGTATGGTATGGTTCTCAGCTGCAATCAGGATGATCCTGCACCTTGTGCCTTCGTTTTAGTGCGCCATCGTTCTCAGGAGCATTGCAATCAATTTGAAGGATAAATTCCTGCTAGTATGGTACGGGCATCATTTGAAAATTATATGTTCATGTATATTGTGACTGGTTTTAATTGGCCGCCCCTAGGTTTTTAGAACTTCAGAAGACATGGTCTCCAACCGCAGAGCGTCCATTCTTGAGGCATGTCCGAAGGCCGAAACATGCCCGTACTGGGCCAAAGGGTAAGGGTGAAACTTAGGGGGTTTAGGTTTTGGGGGTTTAGGGCCTCAAGTGAAATTCTAATTCAGACTCACTCACTCATCTGATATTTTGTAGCGTGTGTTTGTCTGTTCTTGTTAGTATCAATACTCCTGTAAGGGACTGGAGTGGGGGAATGGCTGCCTACACAGTAGCCCCTTTATAATCCCAAAAATATAGTTGCCGCTTTCTTCTCCACTCCTTCATTCCCTAACAGCAACCATCAATTTTCCTCCCAATAACGTGATGGTTTCCATTTTCTTCCCCACTAAACCCTGATGATCCCTAAATCCTAAACCCAAAACAACCAGTAAGTTTCAGGAAACCTGCTGCCGCCTGGACCCTCTCCGGACGCCGTGTGCGCCTGGCCTCTGTCGCGGCGGCGTTGCGGCCCTCGGCCGCCTGCTTGTCAGTGGGGCTTTACAAGGGTTGTGTTGAGGCTTTAGGGGTGGGGCCTTCTTGAGGATTGAGCGTTTTGTTGTTGCTCCTATGTGAACGCACAGATGGGTTTGGGTCAGATTAGGAACACGTCGACCGAGTCGCTTTTGCTGACTTACGTGGAGGTGACCCTGGAAATGTAAAAGTGCGTCCATGCTGGACGGAGAGAGGCAGTAGCAGAGTATAGGACACCCACCCATCTCATTGTTGATGCACGCTCCCTTTGACCTCGACCGTGTGCTCCAGGTGGTGGATGACATGAGCCCTTGTTGGCAAGTTCCACGATCCGCAAAGCGGAGGTGTGGTGACGCGAGTGCCGATGCCGTGGAGCAAACTGCACGTCGTGCAGCTTAGGCTTTGGGTTGAGGGAGGTGCATGCAGTCTCTTGCAAAGAGTTCAGGATCCAAGTCCCCACAACCCCTAAACCCCTAAACCCTAAAACCCCTAATCCCCTAATCCCCTAAATCCTAAAACCTAAACGAGGTTGATTCAGTGGTAGTCTCGTGTTGGTGCAGGTTCACCTCTCCGTCCTTCAGCTCTAGGATCCAGGGAAGGAAACCGCAAGGGAACTCAGGAACTAGATTGCTTAATGGGGTTACGAGGGAATATGGGAATACATGTATAATCAGGGATTCTATAGCGATTATATTCCCTTATTCCCTACTAACCACCAGTAAGATGGATACTTGCTCCACTCAAAAACAGCTGGAAAATCATGCTAAACAAGCAGGCCTCAAAGTCAATTTCTTCTATCATAACCTGTTACTGGGGGTGGCTCAGTACCCAAGCTACATCCTTAACTCCCCACAGCTGACAGCCCAATGCCCATGACATTCCCAGACCTGTCTGCCCTGCAGGCTCTCGGCTCAAACCCAAGCCAGAGCTTGTTGTTTCCATTTTCTTTTCCTTATGTATGTATATATATATACACATACCCTGTATATACCCTTTGTAGTCCATACTATACAGTATACAAACACATCATATAGATATATGCATATGCACATATATATATATATATACACAACCCCACTACTCAATCCCTGTATACGCCTTAGGGAACATCCGGACATCTGCACGCACGACGGTCTTTTTTGCGACTGTGGCCTTCGAAGACTTAACCGTCCAAGGTACCTCCTGCTTTTAGGAAACCTTTTAAAGAGTCCCTTTAAAACTATACATACTGCATGAGTTTCCAGTTTAGAGCCCTAAGCCCTTCATACCAGTTTTGAGAAAGCATATCCGCGCCTGCCTCTGCCGGCGGGCCGACCGATAGCATGGCTTCCGCGCTGATCAGGCCACTGGGCATGTGTAATCCCTGTTTGGGGATCCGAGCAAAACCCTAGGATCCTTACATAGTAGAGCTACTTAGGGCCTAAAGGGATTCCCGTAGAGCTATTTTAGGGCCCCAATATATACTATACAGCTACACGGACCTTTTGGGAAAGGATTTCAGTATGGGTATTTATAGAGAATATAACAAGTGAAGAAGGGGAATCCTCGATGGCCCTGCCCACATGCACCGGTCGGGGCCAAGCAAACCCAAAACCGAAAACCCTAAATTGAAGTTTCCATTTTCTTTTCCATTATCCCAATATCACCCCAATGACATTCACTCCAATGGCCGGGTTTGCTTCAGAGACGGAGTAACGCAGAGCTTCGCAAGACTTTGGACTGTAAGGGTCCAAGGACCCGAACTATAGGGTCCCTTTAAAGGGGTTCTAGGGGCCTAGGGGGATATATAGAGATATTAGGGGACTATATAGTGGTAAAGGACCCAAATAATTGGGTTCTCAGGGCCCAAATACCATTAGCTTTATGTGGCCAGGACTTTTATGTATGATTTGACGATTCTCTTCGTTTATGCTATTAAACTATGCACAGCACTGTTTTTTGTCCTGATGTAGATCCGATTGCTTGAGGGGTATTTGACGGGCTCCTGTCCTATTCGAGATAGTCAAGCACGTTGGAAAGTCGCACAGGTGTTTGGCCTTGCTAGCCGTACTGCGAGCTGCGGAAGCATGCGACGAAGCTTGCATGATACAGGCCAGGTGCAGGGAGTTCGAGTTTAGTTTAGGGTCTAGGGGTTTGGGGTTTAGGGTTTCAAGGGCTGGATATTCTTAGGCCTTACCTCTAGCGGCGAGAAGTTGGGGTGCGGTAGCGTCTGCATTTCTACCTCATTGCTCTCAGATGTGGACGGGCATGGCGTTGTACTCTTCATGGACTTAGATTACCACAGAATGATTTCCTTGGGCATGATGACGATGGGGCTTCATTTAGTCACATCACATGCGTCGTAGTGGTCTCATGGAGGTGCTAGGATTTCGACAACTTTTCAGTGTAAGCAGCTTCCCACTGAGAGGATACCCTCCTTGTTTTGGTCTCGCCCTTGTAGGCGGCTGCAATCAAAGCCTGACCGCATTTGACTGGATTCAAGGGTGTTGAAGGACTGAACTCTTACATATTTGTAAATAGGTCCCCATGTGCGAAAGGAGATGTCTCTTCGTCTTTAACAGGAAAAGCACCCTCGGGCCCACACATCATCGTGTCATGGTGTAGAGTGCCCCAAACAGACTTCGAGATAATGTTAGTAATCATCTAGGCCAGTAGGCATCGGAGAATGCTGCATAAAACAGGAATGCCATGCAACATATCGTGACCAAAACCACCTTGGAATGCTAGCCTGGGCCTGCTAATGAGCTCAGCTTTCAGGTTCAAAGAGCCCGAACTTCTGAGCCTCACATATTTTTCTTCTGAGCCCATTAAAGTTTCAACGAAGGAATTGTTTATTAGCCAAAGAAAGAATACACCCAGCAACATCCTCCAGGGTCAATCAGCCGACAGCCGGCTGTGCGTGGGAACACCCGATAAGGAGTAGGACTGCAAGTTCTATTGGAAGTTTGGCTTTCTATTTGAGAACACCAAAAGACACACTCTTGCCTTTTTTTGCAAACAAGCAGCAAGCAAACACACGATCCGTGTCACGGTGATCAAATTATTTCTGGAGGCCTCCGACGTGGCGTCTGATGACTCTTTGGTCACTCGATTGTTTCAGACGAGCCTTAGGATTTGCAGTTCCAGATCTGGAGGATTGGGAATTGTCCCTAGGGCTCCGAATAGCCCAATGTAGGTAATGTTTGTAGACTTTGGGGCCCAATGTAGGTATTATTTATAGACATGGAGCCCCAGGGTATGATGGGGTCAGTATTGAGGCGTTTGAAGTTGAGTACAAGCAGAAAGGCTGCGTTCTGGATCTAGGTTGTTGATGGCAAAGTTTTTAGCTCAAATGATTTGGATTTTAAGCTATCACCCCAAACAGCAGTAGCAGTGAAATGCAGTCATTGCCCGCCTCTGAGGTTAAACCCTGCGACGTCTTATGTAGCTATTGGCTTGTAAGATAATCAAGGTCTGACGGGGGCCGATTTCATGGGGCGACTCTCCCCCCACATAGGGAGATGGCGGTTTCCCCGAAGTAGGCGTACCCTTTTTGGGGGTCCCCATACTTTTCCATAGTATTTGGGGGGTCTATATATTGGGGTCCCCCTGCTTAGGGAAACTCCCAGATCCTTGCTACTACCCTGATTCTTTGGCGCCGTCCTTGCCGGGATGTTGGAGGATCTCATGGTTCAACTGATGGACCGCTATGTGCAGCCTTTGATGTTGATGTGGTGGCGCGGGTCCGACATACATTGCAAGATTCGCTTGTGCGACCAAGAAATGTGTGCGAAAAGAATGAGCCGCGCTGGAAGCAAACCCAACAGAAAGCGTGATATGGCGAGCGTGCTGAGGGATTTCGTCAACTGGCTCGCAGTACTGAGGTCTCCAAAGACTTGTAAAGGATTTGATTAAGACGCCCATCTCTCCGCAAGGGAGTCGATCAAGGTAGCGAGACTTCAGCATAGCTGCAGGCGTGTTTCAAGCCTTGCATCACTGAGTTTGTCGAACCTTAACTTTTGGGCATTCACGCCTGTAGTCCCCCTTAAGGTAGATAGACTATGGGGTATATGCGGACCTTATTATAATATACCCAAAGCCATATTCTACCTACTTGATGAGGACTATTACCCTAAATCCCTAACGCTAAACCCTAAATTGTAGTTTCCATTTTCTTTTCCATTATCCCTATATAACCTCCCTTATATTATCTACTTAAGGGGGCTCAACTGCCACCCTACGGTCACTTCTGCCGAGGGGCTACTCCAGCGCCATGCCGCCGCCTTTGCGACGCAGCGTTCAGGCGTCTCAGACCACGCGAGTTTAGGGTTTAGGGTTTAGGGGATGGTTCTAGGGGGTAGTTGTAAAAAGGCTACCATGCTGCTTGTCAGTACTGAGGGAAGGGTGCTGCCATGGCAGTCATCAAAGATCCTACTCAAACTCTAAGCTTAGCTCTTGGGAGCCTCGCATGTGCAACGTACATGCAGGTGCGTGACAACATCATGATAGTCGTCATTCCGCAGAATCCCCTAGCTCATGCATGTAGTGAGGACTCCAAAAACCCAAGTTGACTTGCAGATCCTGTTGCACACACGCTCCACAGATGAAAGGGACATGCTTCATACGGTTTGAGCAGCCCGACGTCAAAAGGCAGCTAGCATCGGGAGAAATCCCGGTTGAGAGGCTTGAATGGTGAAATAGTCTAAATTCTACACCCCAAGATGTGTGAGGATTGGCTCGGGCTCGGGGTGTGATGGACGGTTTTAGCAGAAGTGTTTACAGAAAATGACTCGCGCAAGGAGAATCTGAATTACGGCAAGCTTCTACCCTGATCTATCCTGTCAGTCTGCATAGAGTTTATGGTTTAGGGTCAGGGCAACCATGACTCCCCTTAGAAGGGATTGAGGGAAAGGGGTAGAGAGACTATTGAAGATGAATTATTGTGGAAGAGTATATAGGCCATTAATAATTACGCAGCTATTACAAGGAGCCATTCCCTGTCTCCTGACCAAGTATGAGTTGGGGCTGACTTTGGAGATATCATTCGCAGCCCAACGTCCGCACAAGGATAGTGACGGAGTCCAGTATGTCTTCAAGATTGTGCTTCTCCTTCGGACCATATGAGGGGTCCTGTTTCTGTGTTTAGGTTAAGTAGAGTGCGTGTGTAGAAGGGAGTCTTATACTAGCACCTGCAAACTCTATCTTCCCCAGATCGGGGCCAGCAGTGTCAGCTTCGATTTTAGCCCTCAGGCTCTTGTGTGTGTCTTTTCCCTGGTATCTGCCCTTGTTGCTAGTCAAGGCTTTGGTATGAACATGCGCAAGAACAGAAGAACAACGTTGCACATGAGTACCACGGCCTTGTAAGCGAAGAGCAGGACACGAAGCGTAATGCCATCATATTG